GTGAACTAAAGTAAGTCATAGAGAGTATGTTGCAGTAAATTCATTGTGAACTAAAAGTAAGTCATACATAGTATGTTGCAGTAAATTCAGTGTCAACTAAAAGTAAGTCATACAGAGTATGTTGCAGTAAATTAACTGTGAACTAAAAGTAAGTCATAGAGAGTATGTTGCAGTAAATTCAGTGTCAACTAAAAGTAAGTCATACAGAGTAAGTTGCAGTAAATTAACTGCCATAAATCCAAATGAATAATAATCAAAAGTAAAATTGCAACTTTTATGTGGATTTTATATATATATATATAATGTTCAACGCTTAAAAATTTATCTACAGCAGTTCTGAAATTGATCAGTATTAAACATTATACTCAAAGTCCTGAAATGGATCAGTATTTAACATTATACTCAAAGTCCTATTGGGTAAAATAATCAAAAATACTGTTAGAAATCTTAATTAATATGAACTACAAGCAACAAAGCCTCCTAGTGGTTCAATACATTTTTTCCCAAGTTTTCTTCTTTTCTACACAAAGATGTAAACACTGTTCAACCAACATCCAGCTACGACAAGCGAAACCTCTACAGGTTTAATTGTTTTCCCCTATACTGTCTCTTTTGTATTATACTTTGATAAATCACAGAGTTAGATGGTCAAATACATTGTTCTCAGTCTGAGAATTCAAAATTATTCATAAAATAGTACAGTTACACTCAAGAAAGTTGCAAACATTTGAGTTTGGATTTCAGCCTTATGATTTAAATAAGATCAAGTCTTCACCTGCATGATTATGCAAATATTTGTAGGTCTACAGTTCATACAGCAATGTAGTAATTTTGACTTGTTTGTTTTTTTCATGAACAAAATCAAAAACATTTCATTGTGTTCCTCTTTTATTAACATAGAACTTTTACTTAAAAGTTTGGATAAAATTGGTTTTAACATTTGATTCTTATTAATAGTAATTTCACTTTAGCAAGTTCCTACACTTAAACACAAATATGTTTGTAATTGTAGCTAAATGAAATCATTCATTCTTAGCATTAGTCTAAATCTAAAAACATAGGTAAGTGCCAAATTTACAATACATTTGGCATCTTCTTCTTGAGTTATTACTCCCCACAGAATAACTTAAACTAATAAAGATAAAAAGCATCTTAAAGTGTAAGAACAGCTTCCTATAAAAAATTAAGTTAATCATATATTCCCTGCCAATTTTTTAAAGCTATGTAATAAAGTGACTCTGTTATTTGATCTTCGACATCACGTTTGTTATACACGAAGTATAATGAAACACATCCAGAAAATAGATATAATTCAGGTGTTAGTTTACATTGAAGGATCTAACATACACCACAAATAATGAATATTAAAACAATGTTAATAGCTAAAACAGGAAATGGGAATTTGAGGTGGAAATCTGACCAAAGTAAAACTTTTTATAACTAATTAATCAAAATACAGGTAAAGTTGGGTGATTAGAGGTATTTGCTAATTGATTATTAATATTCCTCCAACCATGGTATATACAAACAAACAAAAAAAAAGTTGGCACAGGTGCTGCCTTCCCTCTAGTCAGAAGTTCATAAATAGTGACAGCAGCATTAACCCCCTGTGCTTAACCACCTAAGATGAACAAACTAGAAACAAAGTAGAAAAAAAAAACAGTTCGAAGTCTAAACTCGGAAGAGTACGGATAGCCCACTATGTAGCTTTGAGCTTAACAACGAAAAACATAATAGCAAAATTTTGATCATTTGGATAGTTGGAATAATCAAAAATAGTAATAATCAGGTATAATAATTGATTTGTTTATTATTTTTGTGATAATAAATTTAATACTATATGAAGGTTGGAATTTTCAAAAACAGTAATATTTGGAAACACTAATTTTTAAAATTTTTTGACACTAATCAATATGATTGCTGCTGATAGGTTATTGACTTAACTGTCCAGCTCTATTTACATGTATGTTGTACTTATATTTGGTTATTGATTTAATTGTCCAGCTCTATCTACATGTATATTGTATGTTTATTTGGTTATTGATTTAATTGTCCAGCTCTATCTACATGTATATTGTACGTTTATTTGGTTATTGATTTAATTGTCCAGCTCTATCTACATGTATATTGTACGTTTATTTGGTTATTGATTTAATTGTCTAGCTCTA